TCGGTTTTTTACAGCAAATTTTAAAATATACGGGACACTTGAGAAATTTGATTGTCGGGTTGTCGGGTAGCCGGCAGTAGGTTATTATATAATCTGATATACTACTATTCATTATACTCGTCACGTGTTATTTATACTTTTCTAATAAACAACTTACTGCTGAGTAACCCGGCTACCCGACAACCCGACAATCAAATTTCTCAAGTGTCCCGTATATTTTGAAATTTGCTGTAATAGTATCGGTTCGGAACCGGCAGACCGAGCGAGTCATTTCCATCAGGACCCCGAGCTATATATACAGAGGTAAGGTGCAGCCAAAAAAAAATTACTATTAGCTCTACACATTTTTCAGGGCCGGATTATGATAATACCAGTCAGCGTCTAAAAAAGGAAATAAATTCCGGCCGGAATCATCTATAAAAGGAAAGATCTACATGATTATTTTGGTCAATTCTACGCAAACCTTACCCTACCTTTTTATGTATAGCTCGGGGTCCTTTTCCATCCCTATTCCCAAATCTAAAGTAAGAAATAATTCAAAATTATTAATGAATATAATTTAGGAGAGTTGTTTGCACCTCACACTTACTCTTAATCATGTAACTTATTCTATATTGCAAAGCATTTTTCACAAATACAGTCAATGATAGCAAGAAAAAGATTAGAATGGCTAATGAGATAAGTTACTTGAATGCTGTTTAAAACATGATTATATTAGATTTTTTTTTTTGAAAATAAATATTATTACAATTAATTCGTGATTCGACAAATCACTATAATCACTAGGGCAAATAAAAAATCAGCTTTGCGATTATCTCGTGATCCCGTGATTCAATTTCGATTAACTTTTTTTGTCGTATAAGCTCTACAAAATAAAAAAAAAAGAAGTAATAAAATAAATAAATAAATAAAAAAAAGATCGCCAAAATTGGACCAATAGACCGTGAGATAATCGTAAAAACGATTTTTTTCGGAACATATCAGATTCGAAATATCAGTCATCATTCACGATCTATTGGTCTAATTTCGGTGATCTTTTTATTTTGTAGAGCTATAAAACAATAAAAAGTTAGTTCGAAATTGAATCACGAGATCACGAGATCACGAGATAATAGCAAAATAACTTACACGAATCTCAAAAAAAATTATCTAGAATTTTTACTACGTGCAGTAAAAGTCGGCAGTAAATCAATTCGATATGAAAGGATTATGAAAATACATATATAAAAAATGATTTTAATATTTATTTATAATTAAACCTATAATCGACGTAAAATAGTTATAAATGTATTTTAAAATTAAAATTTTGAAAAATAATAATAAAATTACAAATAGATTAATAAATTTATATACTAAATTAAAAACTATATATTATCTGTTATAACATTTTTTTAGTATTGGACTTATTGTACTTCCATATAGAATTACCATCATAATCAGTTTCTTGAAAATTATGTTTTATATACGTAGATTTTTCTTCAAAATCTTTATAAATAACACATTGTTCTCTTTTATTACTCCATTCTTCAAAATTTTTTGATTTACCAATATAATAAATATATTTTGGATCCGGTTCGCGAGGCCAAATATGAATATGATGTAATGCTTCATAATCCGCTATTTGTCTCGCTCTAAATCTTAATAAAGCTTGTCTACCTTTGTTTGCTGCTCTTTCATATACACCACTAAAAAAAGAGGAAAAGAAAATGGGTTAAAATTTTAATTTTACAATAAGTTTTTGAAATTTTTTTTTACTTACCTCATTAAAGCAATAAACATATTTTGTAAAATGGTCACAAATAGAATGCTAGCGATTATACTAAATAAATCTACCGCCCAAAAGTCAAACATATCTCTTTGAACCCAATTACCAGCGGTCCAAAAGTATGCGGCTTCTATAGAAGTTAAAAATTCAGAAAATGGATTATCCTTATCATCGAATTCAGATTTAATTTTGATATTGATATTTTCATGTGTTACATTATTTGTAACATTTCCGCTAAATGTGCTTGCTTTAAACTCAATAATTTCTCGATTTTTAAGCAAAATGAACCTGTAATAATTTTTTAATTATAATAAATAATCATATTAATATTATTATTTTATATGGTTAAAATAGAAAAGAAAAATATTTTTTACATACATGGTGTGTGCAAACGCAACTATAACAATCATGAAAAACAAAATAAATGGAAATACAGTTTTGACGATAATCATAACATAGTAAATGTAGATGGCAATATCTAATTAATTATAATATAAATTAATATTAGTTATTATACTGTAAATGAGTGAAAATCTTTAAAGATATTCTTACATGAAATTAAGCGAAGGTATAAAATCTAAAATTATATAGAATAAATGTTAATAAGTAAATTAATAAGCGAATTATGTATAAAATTTTTAGTACTCACAAATTCGATCCACATTATAAAAATTGACATAGATATCCCAACAATTAATCCACGATCAACTTCACCAATACTTCCAAATCCATCAGAAAATTTAAAATGGGCAAGCATATAATACATTACAATTGCTGGAAGAATAATTGAAAACAAATCGAAATAATTAAAAATTGTACCAAGATATTCTTTATAACCATGATGAAAAAATTGAATAATTTCGGTTACTAATAAATAAAGTGCTAAATAATAGAATAAAATAATTAGGACCAGCAAAAAAGTTTGAAATTTTGGTTCCGTAGCTTGATGAGTTATATATGCCCAACTAACAAATATAAAACAAACAGCAAAAATAATAAATCGAAGAAAGAGAAGTATAAAAAAGGTTCTTGTATTTCGCCAACGAAAATCGATAACAGCTTCTGTAGCTGGATTATCATACATGTCATCATTATCCTCATACTTAGTAACCCGTGAAAAGGGACTTAATAAGTGGTGTTCAGATTTACCAATTTTGTACCACCGGGGAACGAATGTAAACCAGAGAATATACAACAAAGTTTTCCAGATATCATAATCTGCAGCAGTTTTTTTACTTTCTATTTTAATTTCTATTTTGCTTTTGTTTTTAAATCTTTTGTTGATTTCATGTACAGTGAATCCGGGAAGGGGTACTACACGCAAGGCTATTGGTGGTTTCTCGTGATCATTACTAAAGAATTCAAGTATCTTTCTCACACGATCATTCTCGAAGAACTTGAGTAACTTTTTCATCGTTCTAATAAATTTGTTCGTTTTTAGAGTAAAAGCATTATCTTTATCTGACTGCAATCTGTCCTTAGGTCTAAATGCCATAAAATTCTTTTCACGAAAATGTCCCGATGTAAATCCTCTTGGAATAATTTCATAAGGATCTTGTGCCGAAAAATGATCTTGGTCTGCAAAACATTCTTTACGAAATAATTTTCTAACATAATCATCTGTTATAGAGAAAAGATTCATTATATTTGGAAATCATTCTTTTATAAAGTTTGTTATCAAATAAAATAAAACTAACCGTAATTATACTTATATAAAAAGGGAAGAGCCTTAGAAACAGTAGTCATCCAACCTGCATATTCTATTGCATGGCTCGTATAATATTCTAAAAGATACGCTACAATCATCGTATCTTTGAGTTCACGCCCTACAGTATGAGGTAATTATGAATTAGAATTATACATTAACTTGATGTTATATTAATAAAGTGTGCGTACCTTTACAATGATAAATTGCTAATTCCAGATCATTAGTAGGTACCGTTTTCCTAGATTTGGAGTTATTATCTCTATCAAAAGGATCAAGATCATCATCGTTTACAAAGCATTGATCCTTTTTCCATATTATACTTCTTGGTACATGTTTGATTACAAACTTCTCTTTTTGTTTCATTTTCCCTCTGTTACAACATTGATCACAAACGGGGCAATTATCCTCATCGTTTCCAAATAAAATGTACTTAATCAAATGATCACAATCGCCAAGAATTAGATTTTTCATAACATTATGCCTGACGTCCAACAATCTATATTGATCAGGGTCATGATCAATAAATCTCCATATTATATGATTAATGTAATTAACCATCTCTTCATACTTTAAAAAATATTAAAAATAAATGTTTAATTTTAAAGTAGAAATGAATACATATATAATTTAAGTCAACTTACACAATGCTTTTGAGGAAAATTTGAAAGATATCTTTTACGTTTATTCAGGTGCTCCAATGCTTTACACGCAGATCTTACTGCATTTACTTTTTCAACAATATCGTTCCATTGGATCGTTCTGCTCTTAGGTTTCGTTAGTCCTTTCTCTTCCCAGTAAACTTCCAGGTTAAAATATTTGCAACCATAATCAATCTTTTTAATATGTAATCTCGTGTCAAACTGAGTATCATATTCTTGATCTAATGGAACACCATTTGTCCAAATATATTCAAGAAATGGGTTCCCTTTGTTAGGACAATCATCCTCATTAAAGCCCGAATTAGGACGAATTTGATGCCAAATTTGAACAGTAGATCTGCCAACTATTAGTTCTATAGTTTCTCCTTCATTATCATAAAGGCAAAAAGAATAAGTTTTATAACTATCCATTACCCAAGGTTCTTTACCACAGACTATTGGCTCTTTGAAATGTGTTCCTTCTTCATTATCATAAAGGCAAAAAGGATAAGGTTTACAACTATTCTTTACCCAAGGTACTTTGCCATCGACTATTGACTGTTCAAAATGTTCATCATATTCTTCTAATTTATCCTCAGTTATTGTCCTTATTTTTCCCTCTGTTCCGATATCTTTACGCGGTTTCCTTTTTTCAATAATATTAAGAATCGATCTTACTTTTCCTTTATTATCAACATGTAAAACATTTCCCGAAGTTCTAGCTAGACAACAGATGCCAAGATCTTTTAACGATATTGAATCAACTTTACCAGTATTAAATAAATCCCAAGTTATAGCTTTCGGGTTTTTTTCTTTATCATTTCCAATTATAAGTAATGTTTCATCATTATTAATGAATTCTAATAAGTTTATTTTTTCTATTTTATCTTCAAAATTTTTTGCCGCAATTTGCAAACCGTTTTCAACTAAATATAATCTGTGAAATGAAATTTCAAAAAGTTAGCGAGTATAAGTTATAAATATAGTAAGTATATATATATATATAACTTACAAAAGATTCCTTATATTATTACTTACTTAATAGAATGAAAACCTCGAGTGTAACATAATTGTAATTTGTTTTTACTTATTGTAAAATCATTTTTATTATCGTATTTTTTCATACGCCTATCCTTATTTTTAACTATTTTTGCAGCAGTTTCTAATTTCATTTCTGCCAAATCATAAACTGTAAGTTTTGAAGTAATACATAATAATTAATATTATTGTACAAAAGATTTTTTAACAAAAAAAGTTTATAATCAATATTTACCTTCAATTACTTGTACTTTATCTTTATATTTTTCGACCAAAAAATTCTTATTGGTAAGACATGATAAAAGTCGATTCATACAATCCGTTAACTTATTTGTATGCCAATTATTCAATTCATCCTCGAAACTTTTCGGATAATCAAATCTCTCATTTAAATCAAAACTTCTATCTTGATGATTATACTCAAAATTATATATTCCATTAAAATTTAATAATATAAATCTTTTTAAGATACGGTCTTGATCATTTGAAATTTCTGAATGATCAATCTTTTCATTATTGATGAATTTTGGAATACCTGAAACATAATTACAAGAGCAACAAGTCGGGATATAATCATTATCTAAACTATAATTTTTGTTCAACTTAAAACAATAAATGATGGTTTTTCTCCGAGAAGAATTTGAATCATCCATGCCATCAGCATTAATAACAACATTGTTATTTACATTATATTCAATATAAGATGAGGCTTTAGCTTTTTTAATTAATTCCTTATTTATCACATTATTGTTCTTATATTCATTTTTAGTATCTCTAATTGTTTCATTAATATTTATTCTTTCTTTACCTTTCATATCATTTTCAAGATCTATGTAGGATATTGCTACAAAGATATATTTGTTACCATCACAAATTTGTAAACTTGATATATCGAATGACCACCTATATTGATTGGATTCATTTGATCCGTTTCGATTGTTTTCGTGATTATCTTGTGGTTCTTCATAACGCGGGTCGTTGTAAATCTTAATAATATTTAAATCATTACTTATTACGAAATTAACTATTACTTCATCAATTATATCACTATCAGGAATATTGTTGGGGTTTTTATTGGAGTACTTTGAATATGTGAACTGACGAAAATCGGTATTCCTATAAATTTTGATACGAAGATTTTCTGAAAAATAATAATTGATTTATTAAGTACAATATTTAAAGGAATGTTAACAAAAATTAGAGGCTGCAATGTCTTTACCTGCATCAAAAGTCATAGCGAATTCACCATCTTGACTAATTTTAATTTGGAACTTCTTTTTTTCATCATGTTGGAATGTTGATGGACGCATCTTGAAAATATATTCTAAATTTTTTTTTTTTTATCGATGTTTTGGACAGAAAAAAAAGGTTCATGAATCACAATCCAATTTATAAATTATTTCAATCCATTATAAACGATTATGGCACAAATATTTACTTTGCAATGAATGTTTTCCTTTCATACACAAAATATCAATGACCGACATTCATTCTAATTATTCCTATATTGAACGCGTTGCACATAAGAAATGGAAAATACTTAAAGAATCTTATCGTAAAATTTCGATGAATGTCGTATTATAAAAACTACAATTAAAGAAAAGAATTAAAGAGAATATATGAATATTAGTCATCACAAATAAAGTTACTCTAAAACTATTTAAGTAATTAATTGAAAGTAGGTAATAAAAGCATCATATCTGGTATCTCTTTTTTTTTTATGATTCATTCCGTATATTCCGTTAAAGAATAGTAAATGAAAGTAATCCGATTGTTACAAAAGGAATTGAAGGAGTCCTTTTTTGTGATTAGTAATTTAATTCACTAGTAATTCAAAATTAATTAAATTCGATTTTTTGTTTTTTTTTCGATGCAGAATGATTCAGCCAGGTAATTATCTACAAAATTAGGTTATCTGTATAACATCCAATTTTAATAGGAAACGTTAACAATGCAACGATTAACGACAGCGTAACATATAATAACCATAAATAAGGACATTGAGTTAAAATTAACATTGAAATGATGCCTAAATCAGAAATTCCTTATTGCATGAAAAAGGCGTTATTAGACATTAATAATTAACGTGGTCTTCCAATATGCATGATGGCGTTTTTTTCTCATTACGATCGACACAAAAAGTAATTTAGGATAATCAATATGATGTAATAATAAACTTTAATTTTAAAATTCATAAAATTCATTTATTTAAAAAATGTTATTTATACTCTAAAACACATAATTTTTCCATTTAAGGTTTTTCATTTATATATTATAATAACATTATTTGTCAACCGTTATTATAACAGTTTTGGGGTTTTTTTATTTATGGTAAATTTGCGTGCGTTGACGATCTTAATGTAATATAGTATTTGTCACAACTACCGTCTCTCATTATTATTTTTAACTTTATATTATTTTCTATTATCGACCACGTCTTTGTTTCTTACTCTTTTCAACACACATATATTATATTTCAACATTTCCTTTATGAGTATATATCTACCTTTCACCAATCAGTGATGAGGCGCATCCGTATTACCTCAATCGTGAGCCGTTATGCCTCTTTAACATAATTATGTTGAATGGCTGCATCTATGTTATCATCATAGATTATATAAAGTTTCTTTCAATTATGCCTTCCTTTTGTAATTATCGGATTATCTATCTTCGTCTAGGACAATGCATATCTTTCCTTTGTTGGAATGCATTTGTTTTATAGATGACCATAACTTGTAAGAAATTAAAATGTTTGGACAAATTAAACATAATAAATTTCGACCAACAGTGAATAAATTCATTACACGTATTATCCTATTAAAATCCGAATCTTTAAAACTCAATGACTTTGATTCAAATATTCAATATTAGAAATTGAGTTGGCAATTCGCTTTTTTTTTTATTAAAAAAAAGGAGTTACAAGAAAGTGAGATTTATTTGGAATATTTTTATCGGAATTTGAAATGTAAATAATAGGAAGTTGTTCAAAGTTATGAATTACATCGACTTTGACGAAGAAGACTATTCAATTTATAAAATGGTGTAACCGCTCATCCCACACTTGAATCAATCACATGACTCACAAGTCACAAGATTAATATATAACATGTGATTACTAGTTTCACGTGAAATTTATCAATATGATTTTTTATTTATTTTTAATAACATAGAATTATACATTATGTACGTTATCTTTCCGTGTTTCATGAATACATTTTCATCAAATTTAATAAATAATTTGAAGTTAGTAAATTAATAAAATACTCTTTTCTTCTCTTCTCAACCTTTCTTGTGAAAAAGTAAAAAAAAAAAATTATTTACAAAGAACAAAAAAATCCTAACAAATATGGCCTTTTTCTTTTTTTTATACTCTTTTCTTTAATGTTCAAAAATAGAATCTTTTTTTTTTTTACTTATCTTAATTAAAGAGTCCCATAATATTTACTTACACTTAACAAATTATTCGACAATACCATTCGTTAAATTAGCTGCATCATCATTTTGTTCTTTAATATTCAATTCTTGTTGATATTTCTCAAGAATTGCTTCATACACCTCATAAATACATTCCTTCTCAAAAGCTGCTGTGAAAGTATCATTCCACCTAAGGATAATTTGTATGAGTAAGTCTTCGGCATACGTACGTACATCATGAATGTAAGTACTATCTTTGTCCTCTTCACTTTCTTCATGTTCTTGTTTTACGCTAGAACTAGTAAAGAAAATATTTGAAAGGAACTTCTCGATATGTGAATACTAAATAAATATATAAATACATATATTAATAAATAAAATTTTCAATAATTTTTGAATTAAATAATGAGTACGAGTACAAACCTCAAAAATATTGCATAATAGATCTTCGGGATAATAAATCAAAAATGCTAATATACACATCATAATTAATTTACGTAATTCCCAACTTTCTGAAGCACGATACGCTTTAAATAATGTTGGTATTATCACAATTGCAAAAAGTCTTGCTTGTTTGTTCAATATTGGCTGTGAAGTCGTAGTCGTATTGCCAGGATCAACCGTCATCGCTAAGTCTAACCAATCTAATAAAAATTTAATAAAATTTAAAAATAATTCGACAAAAACATTGTTAAATTAGCTACTTAAAATAATAAATAATATTAACCTTCGGATGACCATTGATGGCTAATTTTACCATCCGGAAACATGAGATATAACTTTCCTGGATCCGGTACATCAGGAAATAATGACAAAATAAATTGGCAAACTTGCATATAAAGCTTGATTGGTTCCATATTTACATATCTATAGCGTAGTTTTGCATTAACTTCAGTCACTATTTCCTTAGTTTTACTATCAATCGGCAATTCAGAATAAAGATCTTCTACGTTTCTACGTCGTTCTGTACCATTGCCATTACCATTATCATTTCCATTTGGGTTACCATTGGTATTAACATTGTTGGCATTGGGATTAGGATTAACATTATTAACAAATTCATTTTCATTTTGATCCTTCTCGGGATTATTTATACTTTTCCTCGATAACACATCGAATAAGGCCTTAACTATTCCATTTTCAATAAGTGTATTTGTTATTCTACGTGATTTATTTATTAAAATACTGAACATTTTCCACATTCTCAACTGATTATATTCACTTAATGGTATTGAAAAGAAAAATTGTTTATAAAAATTGTACATTATAAAATTAAAAATTAAGGAAAATTTTTAAAAGAATAAATCGTTACTTACTCAAATTGTTTCATACGATAAGTAATATTCTTAATTACTTCTGGACTTGATAACACCAATAAAGATTCAACATCTTCATTGTGTCGACTTATTAAAGAACTTAAACTAACACAGCACCATTTAGTAACTTCAGGCATTTCATGATCGGCAAATAATGCCTGAAAGTCCATTGTGTTGAAAACTTCGGATAATAACTTTTTAATATAACGTCGAGGAGCTTTACTAGTACAATTTGCTAGTAGTTTCAATGGTAAAACACGATCCTCATCGATTAAGAAAGGAAGGATACTTTCCATTATATTTTTGAAAACATCTTTCTTGACAATACTTTCTGTACAATCGATAAAAGTAGGTTTGGAAAAATTATACAATGCCTAATTCCAATAAATAAATAAATGATGATTCGAATATAATTAAATTGAAAATGCTCATTTTTGATCGTTTATTATTACTTTAATTAACATACCATTATTATATCTTTTAAATATTCTGAATCATAAGTACGCGGCCCTTCTGTTAAAATATTACATAACACAGGAATAGCTTCCTCTCTGATAGCACGCCCAACCATACGCTCAGAGCTATCACCCAAGGTTAACACCAAATTTCCTAAACATCGACTTGCCATCGTTATAACATTCGGATCACTTCCTGTACCACCTTGATACATATCACGCTCCAAAAATTGGCGTAAAACTTCTGGCTCAAATTGCTGCAACATTAAGGCTTCAATTGAAGGCATAGAATCACTATTTGCAGTTTTTTGAACTATAGCTAACAATTTTTGAACCAGTAAATCAAGATTCCAATTATTAAGTACGGATCTATCAAGTATTAGGAAAAAACCTGCGAGCCTGCCCAATTGCTCACTGTTACATTCTGTTCGAGATATTGATTTTAAAAGTTCTTTGATGTCAGGAGGTAAGAAAACATTTGGATTTATAATTTGTGGCTCATTTTCGTGTGTTGCTTCGCTATGGTCATGAATATTTTCATCTCCAGTATCACTATCATTCTCTTCTCCATCATAATGGATATCTTGCTCAATTTCATTTCCATCTGAATTAAATTCCACATCAAGAGGTTGATCTATACTCATTATATTGGATTCTATGAAATATAAATTATGTTAAAATTATATGTTACAAAATGTAATGATTTTACATACAATTATAGGAAATTATTATTCAAATATTTTAATCTATTCCATTCACACAAATTATTCATTGAAAAAATTCGATATGATTTTCGTCGAATCTAATCATCCTTCAATATTAAATAATAAAATAATTAACTCACCAGTATCCGCATTATCTCTACTCATAACTTCTGAAGATATTTCCATTTGTTCTGGTTCATCAATATCCATAGCCTCGTAATTATCGATGGCATTTTCGATGGCATTTTCGATGGCATTACTCATACTTATATGTCTACTTCGGTAAAAGTATCTTAAATGATCGGGCACGTTTTCACCTATTTCTTGGTTTGCTTGTTGACTTGAATTAGCGAGAGACCTAGTAATACGTCGTTGTACGCTAAAGTTGTATATATGTATAAAAATGAAAAATATTCGCTTATAAGACACTTATCTTAGAGACATAATAATGTAGTAAAAAGATATCGTACTCTGATGATCTTGATGACGATGATGATGAATGAGTGCTGCTTCTTCGCCAAGATCTCCTATCCATTTCTTTTTAAGTCGATACCGTACCTGATCTTTAATCAAATATCGAAGATCATAAATACACTTGAAACCCGCGTAAATTAACACTATTAAATACATTGAAAAAAAATTTGATCGAACCCAAAGATATCGGATAATATTAATAAAATATAGTTTTTAAAGATCAAAAATAACAATATGAAATTAAATCAACGTAACTACCGCAGTTATTTAATAAATGAAATAATAAATATTCTTTCCAAAAAAATAACGTCCTTAAATCTATAATCACCTGTGAATTTACAGTATCCCACTCAAAAAGTTTCTGATCTGAAAATATAAAATCATGTCATCAAATTAATTTTGATAAAATCTTTTTTTAAAAAAAATTAAAAAAACTGCGCCTTTCGAAACCTATTATTTCAGAAGTTCTCACTTTAATTTTGGTTTAAATTTAAGTTTAATACCCTACTAAAAGAACTACAAAAGAATTATCAAGTGAAAGGTTTGTATAATATACTACTAACAAACCAAATGCAAAGCTTTATTAACAACTTACTAAAAAACTAGATTTTCGGTCAACTTCTAAGTTACTACGTTTCTTGACTTATACAAGATCAAAATCAATCAAATACGATCAAACTGAACATAAAAAAGCTGTAGCCAAAATTTGTAGCCCTTCAACTTCAAGCTAATTCATTAACAACGGAGGAGCAGAAAAATTTTTTCTCCACGGCAAAAATGGGATTCTCAGTTTATATATTTTTAACAGCCAAAAAATTTTTATGAATATCACCGCATAATTTGTCACTTTGATTTACTCTTAAAAGGCTATTTATGTTATGCGCATATGTGACAAATTATCCTAGTTTAATATGCATTTGACATTTTCACGTGATTATCTTAATTTTCTATAAATATTTGTGATTTACATGGGATTTGTACTTCTTGCTTCCACCGTTTAATTCACATCGACATTATTATAAATTTCTTTGTTACTTTCTTTCTATCTTTAGAAATAATGATGGAACTTCAGGGAAAGCAAAATGCAATCGAAAAGATAGAGCAATTATTTATTAGAATGGATTTTTCAAAAATTCCTATGTTTGATGATTCTGTGATTAAACGAATTGATCAGATACGCGAAATTTTAACGTCTTTCCATAATAAATGGAATGACATAATAAAGTAAGTGTGGAGTTAATAAAAAAAAATTCTTACAATCCATCGAATTATTTATTTATTCATTACCATTTAGAACATCTTTGGAAAATGCAATGAAAAAGACCAAAATTACTAATGAGAATGATACAAGATTCACGAAAATGTGTCAATCTATAGTTTATATTATTATTTTGGATTCGGAAACTTCAAATCTTCAATTAACAGAATTTATTCAATCTTCACTTGTAACAAGCGATCTTTCTAAGACCATATTGGATACTCTTGGACAATCATTTCATATCATGCTAGAAAATTTGCATTATATCTTAAATTCATATAATGGTGATAATTTAGAAACGGATATACAGTGGGTTCTATCACTTTTATTATACAGTTCACAGTTTGCACGAAAAACGAAAGCGGGCAATTTAGCGAAGTGTCTTGATGAATTGGTCAACATTTGGTTCCTTGTGATGGAGAAACAAGTCAATAATAATCGACAAAATATTCAATGGGACAAGATTATATCTTATTTGCAAGTTATATTCGCTACTTTATCAAAAGATTCAGATGCGTTTTTATCTATATCAAATTTAATTATGAATGAGATTTGGACCAATCCTGAAAGAGAACGTTTCTGGGATCCGGCAAAATCATCCCCGAAAATTATTTCAGAATTGAAAATGAATATACAAAGGGAATTGTCAGTGCTGAAGACAACTGAATTGATTGTTGATAAAAACAAATCGTTCGTAGATCGTAAAGTAGTTTATCGACCAAGACTTAAACTTTATCGTAAAAATTGGACATTCAAGAAACAAGTAACAAATGAACTGAGAAATAAGAATTCATGGCAATTTAACTTTGCAAACAGTGAAACAAGGTAATTGTTTGTTTATTTATTTTTATTTTAAAAAAAATAAAAAGAAACTCTTGTCAATTTGTTTTTAAGTCCTTTAGAAAAACGTTATATATCAAATGCAATAAATACGGGAACATTAATTAAGATGTGTTGTATGAGATCAGGTGATAGGTTGTTTATAAATTTTATAGATTTGGATTAAAAAATATTCACATAAACTAAAAATTTATTTTAGATTTATTGGCATTCGATAATGAGAGAGCCAACGAGTTGATCCAGCTACTCACAGACAAACTTACAACTATAGAACCACCAACTTCGGTGGAAACACATGCAATTATACCAAAGGGAACTAGATTAGTAAAATCTCGGTAAATAATATTACGTCTGCTTCATTTCCTGTTCTGCCATTGTAAAATCATAATTATCAATTTTTTTTTTTTTTTTTTTTTTTTTTTTTTTTTTTTTTTTTTTTGAAAATTAAAGTGATTGGATATTAAATGAAGTCTTCAAATCTCATCCTCAGTATTGGATTTTACTTGATTATTTGTCTAATGGTACGTCATTTTCTTTTATTATAACTTTTTCTTTATTATTAGAAAAGAAAAATAATAATTTTCATTTATTGTATTGCAGTGAAACACGAAAAATATAGAGAATTTCATGACGTTTTGATTCGGCCACTTTTTGCAGAAAATATACAGTTTTGGTATTTAACTCAAAAATCAGATCCACGAAAATGTAGTTTAGAATTAGATGCTTCCATAAGATTAATAGATTCAATGCGTAAAGTAAGTTTAAACTTAATTTCTTACGTATTTTATTTTCTTGTTATTAATACGTCTTTTTAATGATAGGCCGGGGATATTCGACATCCTATGACAGAAGTTGGAAAAGTTTTACCGTATTTGAATACAAAAGATATATACAAAATTTTATTCGAAGTATGGAAATTTATAATGGAGAATTGGCAACAATGTCCATATTCTGATAATTTTATAGAACAACTAGAACAACAAGAGAATAATAATAAAGTCGGAGAAATAAATTTCGACGAAAGAGTACGTAATATAAGAATAATTATACAAAAGAATATTCTAAAAATACCGGATGAATTAGTTCATTGTATTTGTAATGAAAAAAATAATCAATCATTAATGTCTGAGTGGAGTATTCACTGGACTAACTCAATTGAATTATCCTTGAACAGATAAATAAAATATGACAATTTTTTTTTTACACACAAATATCATAATTTAATCAGTAATCAAACAATGCAAATAAAATATTTAAGTAATTGTGTAATGAAATTTAAGGATTTTATCAGTTAAAATAAACTCTGCATATAAAAGATTAATTAAACAATTAAAATATTTTTCATGTCTATATATGTAACCTTTATCCTTTTTTTTTTTATTGTAAAAATTTTTTTTTTTTTTTCACTTGAATAACTTTTGGTAAATCTTACCTTTGATAATTTTACTTTTAGTAAGTATTAAAATTATTCTAAATTTTATATTTACCTAAACAAAACTAGAATTTTATTTATGACATTTATTAATGATTCTGAAATAATTTTTTTTTTTCTTTTCTTTTTTTTTTTTTTCTTCAGTCTCGCCAACAATGGCACAATCTGAGGCAATTCAAGCAATTGATGCTTTTATCATGACGATTCATTATATTCTTATTAAATCCATTCAAACACTAGAACGGTCACCAAAAATTTCCATTACTTTTTATAAACATTCTTCCCCTGTCCGAAAAGGATATATTATCCACGAGATCCCTTGTGAATTGGATCATAGAATGTTTGATAATTTTAATGAAGTTGGGTATAATTTGCTTCAAAATAGGAAAATCAACGAAAGATGTGAATCACATTTTATCGAAAGATTTAACAATTATGGGTTTAGATGGAAGAGGTATTTCGATTATGATAACGAATGTGTAATGTTGAATGTATCTATCAAAACAAAAACTGATGAGATATTACGAGGAGTCAAAATTGCAGGACCTTGATCTATAAATAGATAAATTATACTAGCGGAAAAACCGGAGATTATCTCTTATCTTTTATACTAGTTTTGTTGTACATGTATCACTTAATTAAATATAAATTTGAAGGCTCCTTTTTGTAACTCCCTTTCCTTTTAAAATAAAGAATAATAATTTTATCTTAAAAATTTTAAGAATGTCATCAACACAATCTACTCAAACCGTTGAACAAGATGCAGCTAAACCTCGTTTACCGCGTGTTTCAATCGAATATTGTGTTCAGTGCCGTTGGTATGTCTAAAAAAGTTTTTCGTATAAATATCATATTTGTGTATAAATCAAAGATTTTCTATTGTTAGGGTATTACGTGCAGGATGGATGGCACAAGAATTATTAATTACTTTTAGTACACTTCTTGGTGAAGTAGCTTTAATTCCTGGTTCTAGCGCTGTTTTCAAAGTTCATGTCGATGGAGGTAATGAAATAATAATTTAATTATGTATGTCTAAATAATTTAATTCAACCTAAAATTATTTTTTACAATTAGAACTTATTTGGGATCGTAAACAAGCAGGAAGATTTCCTGAAATGAAAGAATTGGTAAGATATTAAGATATGGATTTATCGTCTTTACGTCGGAAAGTTTTAATAATTTTTAATTAATTTAATTAATTAATTAATTATTTTTTTTTTTTTATAGAAAACACTTATTAGAAATAAAATTGCTCCTGATATGGAACTTGGTCATAGTGATGCAAATAAAAAGGATGGTGCTAAAGCAACTACTACTAATACCGCGAATAATAACGATAATAACAGTGATAATAAGACAACTGAAGAATGTAAAGATTGTGCTTCTTAATTTTTCAATTTGTTAAATGTATAAATATATTTTCTTCCTCTTTTTTTTTAAAAAAATAAATTATTTACATAAGTCTTATATAATATAAATGATATTTTCGGAGTGACAATCTTTTATTTTAAAAAAAATTGAATTGATCCTTAAGATCCTACATAACATGTGCAACGTACAACCTTAAATTTAGTTTATCGGAATTAAAATAAAGATGCTAATAATGACGTTTATATATTTAGTATAAGAGAAATAATACGTGCTTCACAGGATTTTTTCGAGAAAAAATTCTAATTTCCACGGTTATTTAACAGATTAGTAAAAGATTCGGATAAGAATTTTTCGACTGTGGTAGAATGGAATAAACGTTGTACCGTTATTGGCAAAAAGGATTTTCAAACACATGGCGATCAAATTCTTAAACCTTACAATGCTGCATACAACATGAAAGTATACAATATGAAACTAATTAATTGCGAGTAAGGAAGACATTACTGAATTTATTCAATATTATAATTCTTATGTTGTACATCGGATATTCGAATATGACGATTAATTGGTGAAAAGAAAATATAAATTTAGTTAAATTTATTTATCACATGGGATCCATACCATAAAGCCCTTTAATATAATTATTTTGACTAATAATGATAGACTTTTTACCTATCTTTAAATAAACATCACCCGTGAGAATATCAAGAAAAAAAAACAAATTTTAACTAGGAACCGTGGGATAAATCAGTTATTTCACGGAGTCACTGGAATATCATGATTTTCACGACTGCGCCGTGAAAATCATTGATATCCACAGTTCCCCGTGAAATAACTATGCTGGTACGTTCACGCTCCGGGACTCTGGGACTAATGAGCAATATAATAATATTAGTAATAACTTAAATTACATTCGACAAAATAAAATATTACGTGAAATTTTAGATTTTTTTTAAAAAAATATTTCTCCCAAATTTAAATAAATATTAAATTATTATATATCATAATTTAACTTATATATACAGTATACACAAATTAAATAAAAAAAAAAAATTATAATATACAAAATATAAAACAGTAAAGTTATAAATAAATAGTGTCTTATTGTCCTATTGAAAATTATTGTCCTATTAAAAATTTCAAGAATTAAGATCTGGATAATAAATTATTCTTACTTTTAATTCACCAATATTTGCATCAATAAGTTGAGGTACGAAATCTTTACTTTTTAAACCTTTCTTATGTCCATTTCCATTTCTCTTTCGTCGTTTATTATCATTTCGTGAACTTTTTTTAACGCTACGATCACCATTCATTTTGGCGCTAATTCTTGTAACAGTTTTTTCCGATTTTTTATCAACGTCATCACATTCGTCCAGTGAGACTTCACCTTCAGTTTCCGTCGTAGTTGTATTACTCGTTAAATAACTTTTAGGTATTTTGACAGTCTTTGTAAAAGTTTTAGTTATTTCCCACATTTTACTTACTTTTTCTTCTTTTGAATAAGAATCAGTTAATAAACGCATTTCGCCCAATAATTTGTCTTTAGAAAAAGTATTCTTTTGATATAATTGAAATAACAAACCAGCAGTAGAAGGATCTCTCGTAAAAAATGTATATTCCGTCAGAATATCAGTTACGCCACCATCATCATCATCATCATTAGTAATAAATTTAGGAGAAACTATTCTCTGTTTAATTCTACCATTTAAATCAGCAAAAGTGATTTTTATGTACGCTTTTCCTATATATCTTTTTAGATTAACACTTAATAATTTTATTCTTATCGTACCAACAAAGTAACTCTTTCCCCAATAAATCAATGGATACCACCATTTTTTCTTGGGCTTATCTTTTTCTAATCTCTTAATGCTAATCCTATTGCCAGAAAACATTCTCATAAAATAATGTCCTTCATCACCATAATTAAAAGTGCTTGGTATGAGAATGTAATTACCACTTTTTAATGCAATTCTCGCAGTAACTTCTCTGGTATTAATATAAGTAACACGACCAGCCACGTCAAAAGTTGATTTATGAATACGATATTTTCTATTCTCTTCAACTTTTAATACAACGAAACCTATAGTAAGATTTTCACGCGTGATATTAGCACGTTTATCTTCTTGCATTAATCCAATAATTAAAGTAGTTGGTTTATGAGTTACTATACGATATTGTGGATTTTGATAAAAAGTTTTTTTATTATTAACACAACCGCCCGCTAATGATTTTTCTATTGACCATTCCCCCCTAAATGTTATACCATGCCATCTTTTTTCAAATGAAAATATTGAAGTATTTAAATGTCTACAAATGATTAAAATTGAAAAATTTAACATCCAATCATCAAAAGACATCCAAAAATCTCCATCATCAGCAATCTTAAAACCCATTTTTTTACGTTTAGATTTACTAATATTTTGCCATTCCTCGGATTTATCACTCCAAGCCCCATTCCATTCAATCTCACCCCAAGGATTATGTAAACGTATTAAAATAGTATTTTTACGATTTTTTTTCCAAAATGGTTCTTGGATTTGTTGTATATCAGTTATACCATAAGCATGACCTATTACCAAACCATTTGGTAAACGTTCTTGTTGAGCTTCACCTTCTAAAGGATTAATATTACAACTCATTAATGCACCCTTTTTATTTGCTATTATAATCATCATTATAAAATTCTTTAAACCCATTTGTTCTACTACATTCTTATTAGCGGTTACGGTCATGGAACTACAATGACTAGAAGGAGTATTTGGTATATCATCAAAATGGGTAGTATTAGGTAATTCGATTGTATCAGGAATTGTTCCAGTTAAATCGACCAAAGCGTCAGAAGCAGTACCAGCTTCTAATGCTTCATAACATCTACATAATTTAGCATAAGCTTTTTCAAGTAATGAGACCCACATTTCATCAGGATTTCTTGAATGAGCGTAAATTAATTTACCATCCCTAGTAGGTAAATAATCATCAACCACGACTTCAACCCATTCACCAAACCTATAAAATCTAAACCTAAATACACCAGGATGACGACCAGTATCACGAAAATGATAAACTCCCGTCTTTTTACCAGGTTCGTCACTATGATTCCAATCTTGATCCGAAGCTTTTGGTATAACTTTATGTAATAATTTTGGATGCGCAGCTAGTACACCTATAGCACTAACCAACCAACAATTTCCAACAGCACCTTGAACTACATCAGTATTAATTTTACCTTTACCTTCATTATCAAATACAAATAAATGAGGATTATTTGTTAAATCTTTACATCTTTTCCATTCAATATGATGATCATGTTTTTTATTTGGAGTTTTATATAACGAAACATCATTAGTTGGAAAATGTTCATCTTGAAAATTTCTTCCAGTTCTTGCATACTCTAAAAATATTTTTTTATAATTCTGTTCAAATAATTTACGATACTTTGGTGACATAATTTTTAAATTTTACAAGGAAAGGGAGAAGGAAAACTGATTTATTTAAATTTATTTTTAAAAAAGGGTGGGTTATACACGTACTATTTATATACGCTATAAATACTAAAAATATAAAATTTGATCGACATTTTTTTTTATTATATATTATTTATGATTTACTTCATTGAGTAAGTAATTTAACCAGATTTGGAACAACATGCAGTTAGTCCCGTAATTATTACCGCACTGAAAGGGGCTGAAAAATTCTTTATTCTTCTACCAATTAATTAATTCATTATATATTATATAGAAAGAAAAATAATATGTATTAACGATATTACAAAAATGTTTAATAAAGAAAGAGAAAAAAAAATAAATAAATGAGTTGGCAAAAATATATTTCCTTAAAGAAGAACCAATTTCATAACGAAGAAGTATTATCACGTGAGTGATATGCGTCGGCTTTTCCTTTTATTTTTTTTCTGTACTATCCAATATAAATTATTGTTATACTTTCTCCTAATTGTCATATGATGTACACATCTTTACTCACATTGTCGGGATCAATATCGTACATTTTTAGGCTTGATGACGTTATTATAATATCTACGGTACATGAGTTATATTAATATTTATACAAGCTCAAATTATTATGTTTCAAACTCCGTTAAAATATTGTAATACAAAATCCCATTGTTTTATTATATATGAACTTTATATGACAATATTTATAATATTTTTTTATTGGTGAAAAGCTAATAAATTTTATATTTCGGAACAAGTCATGTTGTTACACAAATGGAAATTAATAAATTGTTTGTTCGGCAATACCGAATACATTTTGCAACAAAAGCAACAAATGCAAAGAAAATCTTATAATTACATCATGTGTATTACTTTGAATTTGACTTTAAACAAAAGAAAAATGTTTAAAAACGGTAAAATGTTTGAAAACGGTAAAAGTTTATCATTATATTTCAAATGATTGGTTAACTGACTCATAATTTCCTGCGGTTCGTACATATTTCTGCCTCATGTTATATATAATTCGCGGAGTTTGACACTGTATGATTTACTTATCGGGAAATTTATGTCCTTAATAAAGATCAAAGGAATAGTATCAAACATCCAATATAAAAGTTAAACGTAAGTTTTTACTAAAATTCTTTCTTTTTTATTTTTCTTGATCAGCACCTATAATATAAAAAAAAACCATTTTATATGAAAAAAAAAAATAATAATCGAAACATAATTTCTAAAAATAAAAATTACTTAATAAAATCTCTTTTTAATATTTAAACAACTTAAAACTAATCTTTTATTAATTCGAATATAAACAAAAAAAAAAAAAAAAAATTTTTTTCATGAACTCTTTATTCCAAAAAAAAAGTATGAACGACATTTCTAAATCTCAATGGAAATTTGACAAAAATCAATATGGCAAATTCACACCATCTCGTTGCGATGGAATTTCTATGGAAGAAGAAAATAAATTGAGGAGTGATGGTATTCAATTTATTAAAAATATTAGCGTTTGGCTTCGCTTGAAACATCAAACGATTGCAACTGCGACGACTTATTTTCATAGATTTTTTATGCGTTGTAGTTTTAAAGATTATACACAACATGACATTGGGGCCGCTGCTACTTTTTTGGCGACAAAAACTACAGAACATCCTCGTATAATTGATTATGTTGCCGTTGCTTGCGCCCGTGTAATACGACGTGATAATAATTTTTATGATGCTGATGAATTTACAAAGTGGATTAAAATTATCATTAATAAAGAAAAAGTTCTAGCGGAAAAAATATGTTTCGATTTCGATGTTGATTTACCACATATTCATGTGGTGGACTTTCTTGAGAATTCATCCGATATTATTATCACTGAAAAGAAAAAAATTATTTTAATAAGAATGGCAAGCCTAATAATTAGTCAAACTTATAATCATCCGTTTTGTCTTTATTATACTTCAAAAGAGATTGCAAGTTCTGTTCTTTATATATCTCATAAATATATTGGATTGCCTGTAAATGAAAACCCGTTATTAGGTCCAACTTTGTGGGGAATTATGGAAAGTGATGTATATGCTGTTCACAAATGCATCAATGATATATTTAATACTTATCCTACGCCTCCCAGATTGAAAAAAGTTGATGTAAGTTTTTAAGAAATTTATTATTGATAATTCCTTCCCTAAAAAAGATTAATTTTTTTTTTTTTTCACTTCTTATAGAATGGCTTACGTGATGATAATCCTCTAACTAATGTTGTAATTATATTCGATGATGATCATTATGCAACTGCTACTCTTAGAGATGAAACATCTACTTAGGCGAATGAAAATTGTAGAGTCGCCTTTTATTAATTTCTTTAATCTAATTAGTAATATAATTTTTCCTATATGGAACGCTTTTATTAAAATTAAGTTGTAAACATTTTATATAAAAAAGATAGTAGGATAAACCCACTGTAGAAATATAAATTGAAATGTGCTAATTTTATGTGAAAGACATTATTTCAAATTGTTAAAAAAAATGCTAATCACAAACGAAATTAAATAAATTCGTTATTTTACACACGTCGTGTTACGAGAAATAAAATAATTTCTGATAATCTTTTTTTCAAATGTACACGAGATTTTGGGCTTTTCGGGGCTGAGACGAAAAAATTTAACCAATTGTTGCAAGACAATTTTTTTTTTACGTGGCTTTGCTTTTCTCGTTTACACTTATTTATAGAGCTTTTCTCACAATTGTTCACTTATCCCTTTCCCCTTTTCTCACTTTATTAAAATATTTTTTTTTTTTTTTTTATTTAAATTATATATAAAAATTAATTAATATTAATATACTAATTATCCTACATTAAATTATTATATCTACTAAAATTATCTATTAAAATTATCTGTAAATTATCTTAATTTTTAAAAATCAACAATAATGTCTTTGAAATCCTTCAATGTATATTTTTTACTTAAAATATATGATTAACATATAATTTCATATCTATTTAATCCTGCATCTTTTAAGTACCAATGAGAATCTCTATTCAGGATATCTCTTATTAATTTTTTCCAAATCCTACATTTTCCTAATATGTCAATACTAAAAAATTTTGTTTAAATTTTAAAATCATTTATCAAGATTTTAATTATTCTTCATATTTTTTATTGAATTCATTGAATATAATATAATGTTATTTGAATTTTTAATTTTTTATGGAATTTTTCATCAAGAAGCAACAATGATGAAAGTCCTTAGCCAACAATTAAGTGCTGTAAACACTTTGCAGTATATATTAAACATAAGCATAATTTAAGATGATCATGCTTTCAATAATATATTGAAAATATATGGTGAAGGAGAATCAAGTCTATATTTTGCACAAGAAAAACTGGCAAAAGTTCCTGCACATTACATTAAAAAAGATATGGGTAAAAACTACAGTATAATATTAAATTGATAATAGTCTTCATCCTTTTACATATTAGTAGAAAAAGAACTGCTCTGGCTACTGTTTAACATCTTTCTGCTGCTGAAGGTTCTAGTATTGGCTCGTCATCGTAATATCCTTCTTAGGTTATTTATCCAGCGCCTTCCTAATTTATCTGAACAAACAAAAAAATGGATTGTTTCACGCCTTTTCTTAGTCAGAAGCATTCGGCATATTAGAACACAATGCACTATTGGATGCAATAGCCCATCCTGTGAAGGGTTTAAGTCTTTTCAGATATGATCAACTATAAGACTTGCTTTTTAATACACGAAAAAAATACAAAGGTACAGGAAATAAATGTTCTGACCCTAACACTAACAAAAAGCTAAAACTACCTAAAAGATGTAGAAACTGACCTGATTGTTCATACTACAAAATATTACTCTATAAACCATGGGTTTGGAAGTCTATATTGGTTTAGTGGATATGAGATCAATGTGGGTTATTATTCTTTAATTGCTTCACCAAGCCAAGTTTTAGCAATGATGGAATTTTTAAATATCTTGTTAAATTATTTACTTGTTTACAAGACATTTTACCTGATCTATTTTAATAATATCACAAATTATCAAATTGGTGCAATGACCAAATGAAAAGCTTAGAAGTTGAAATTTTCATACTTTCCTTCAAAATTATAGTAGACTACAAACAAAAGAAATTTATGAGAAGTCCAAATGCAAGAAGTTAAAATTCAATCAAGAGTGCTGTATTTCCATTCACATTGTCATCAAAAAGAATTTCAAAATATAAAAAATCTACAAAAAAATCAAAAAAATCTAATGATGGATTAGATGAATTGCAGGATGTTATTGTCGTCCATAAGAAAGTTCCTCATGACCAAAAAAATCAACAGATATAAAAGCATGGCCTGCTAATAGAGTACTACTAAGAAGTGGTGAAAGCTATTCTCGATAGGCCAATTGAGACTAATAAGAAGTGGCGAAAGCTACTCTTGATAGGCCAATAGAGTCTACTAAGAAGTGGACGATTTTACTCTTGATAGAAGTACTACTAATGCATAAACCTATATTCATCTTTTGTCAATAGCAGTGACAAGATGGGAATATATTTTAGAACAAGAACTAGATATTATTTAAATATTGTATAATATATATAGTATAGTACATGACTGTAATAATAACATATCAACACCAAAATATTCCAAAAACTACATTATGAATCACCAAAATTATATACAAATATCAAAACCATTGGCATACAGTATTTATACCTTCTGAATTATTTTAAACTCTTTCTTACATATTCATATTATAAGTTTAAATACAACTATCTTTTTAAAATTTGATATTTTACGAATTTTTTTTTTCAAAATTAAATATATATTTAAAAATGTCTTGTACTGTATAATATATAATTAGTAAATTAAATTTTTAAAAAAACTATCAGGAAGAAGAAATAATTCACAAGTTTAATAGATATAAACAGTTTAAAAAATGAAATAGATGAAGATTATTATCAACATTATTGAAAAAAAAAATAATCTGTTTTATATTTACTTTTTATTGAAAAAGGTATACAAATATACTAATAATCTAACAAAAACCCTAACCATTATAAAACTATAATCACAATATGAGTGACTTTAGTAAAGAAAGTAAGCAACCTATCTACTGGTACTTTTATTACAAATGATTTTCAGGTGCAAAAAGTTAAATTTTTAGGAGAAATAATAGTGCACCAATTGACTTGAACCAGACTTAATTAGCTTTTATTATAGTTGTACCTATTGAGGTGAAAAATGAATGTCTAATTTGTATAACAAAAGTAGTATTATAACTATTTAAGCTTTAAGATTCCTGAAGAAAAAAAAAGTTTATGAATATTTAAGAAGGTAGAAGCTATTATTGGCAATCCTAATTGAAATTCACAAGCCTACCACAATATTAAAGATTTATTTCAATAATTAATATTTAAAACTTTTGCTTATAAAATTTATTCTTCAAGACATTAAAAATCTTGACAGATTTGTCATCAAACTGAATGACTATAAAAACTATCTAGGGAAGCGACATACACTTCTTTGTAGCCATGATCTTCCTAATTGCCATGGACAATCATATTTACAAACTTCTGGAGCATCATCGTCTTCTATTGATACATTAGCAAATATAAGAAAGACAGTAAATCATCAAAAAAAACTTGATTTCAGAAAATCATCAAGATACTGTAACAAAATATTGAGAATATGTTTATACTTAATATTGATGATTATCATAATATTCACAGATGAAATCATCTATGTATCTGATGATGCTCTATTAATTTTACATAATGGTTTACATGAATAAATACAATGCATTGATGCATTATGAATTATCACTAGACAATTCCAAAGCAAAAATATAAAGTAGCAGGTCCTAATGCCCTATGGCATATTGATGGGAATCGATATTATCAGTTATTTGGCACTATTATTAAATCTTATAGTCAGAATGAATGTCAAAGAACTATTTACTCCCCACAATATATAGGAATTATTATAGTTGGTACACCAACTTTAATTGGCATAGGCATATTTTTTTTAGCTATGAGTTTTAAAAAAGATTTTATAAACACATTTCCATGGATCAAATATAGGCATAGAGTTCTCAATTGCTTTATTATCAAAATATTAAACAAATAAAAAATTGGTACATGACTTTCTTATAAAGATTGACATCTCATTATGCAATCATAGCAGAGAAAGCTTATAACATTTTTGAATTCTTTCCAGAACAGATAATGAGCTTGACATTCAAATTATTAGAAGACTTATTATTTTGTTTTATTTTTTTACACATTATATAACATTTAAGTACAAGCATATTTTACAACAAAAGTTAAAGTATTACCCAACAGAGGTAAATTATTAAAGTTATAAGTGATTCATTGGAAAAATGATGTGAATATGTTTTAAAATTGTATTAGATGAAATAATTTACAAACTTAATAATTCTAAAATGGCATACCAAGGAGAGACTATAAGCCTCTTAATTTAAAAAATGTCTATAGTTCATTATTTTGTACAATGTAAACAATAAGAAGCTTGAATTTTCATTAATTTTAAATAATTTTGTTAGCAAAACCACCACTTTCAGAATCTGAAAACCTATTTCATCAGAAACTTCTGAAGAGGATTTACAGCAATATTATATACCATTATCCCTATATATAATACATTAAATAATCCTACTCCAGCACTTCTTATCACAAATAATAATATGGTGCAACCCAATTAACAATGACTTTTAACAATTAAGAGCAGCTATTGATACATTAACACAAACATTACCAAATACCAATAATAATCTAGCTGGAAATATGCAAGTGATTAACAATCCTTTTTGATATTAAGGATGGGTTGCTGAATTTCCAAATTTTTATGGAGGCAATTAAGATCTGATTGCTTGGCTAAAGGAAAACAAATTTATTAGTACATGGAAATCTTTCATGTACTAACATTAGAATATTTTTTTAGTGAGAAAAATACTGGAATTTGGTGGGAAAATGCAGAAAAATTCATTCCAAATGGCTGCAAGCTTTTATCTATAATATTATACTCAGATGCTACAAATGTTGACACATTAGGAAAAAGTCAGTTACATTCTATTTATGTATCAATTGGCAATATTAAAAATTGAAAAAAGATTTATAACAAACAATAACCACTCATGTACAAAATTTTTCAAAAATAGTTTGGTGTCATTTTTATGTTATACTAGCATTAGCAAAAACCTTTCATCACTGATAATGTGATAGCAATCACAAATGCACAGAAAAACATTTCTGAAAAATATCCCATTTATTATAAATATCCACTGCTTTAACACTGCTTTAACCTTTATTAACTTCATGTTAAAAGGTATATAGATTATTAGGCTTCTATTATTATAATAACCCAATAATTTATTAAAGTAATTTATTAATTGTATAGATAAAAGCTATTCATTATCATTATTATTGATACACCTTCATCAACAACCTTTTCAAGCATTCTAT